AATAGACACGACCTTACTGAGTTCATGTAAAACTATCATATATTGATTCACATACATTTGGATTTAACACATTATAATATATTTATTAAAAAATTATTATTTTAGTCTACAATTAAAGATATATAAACTTAAAAATATAATAATACATATAAAATATAAAAATTAATTATATTTATATTCTATTATATTATATATTTTTTAAAACAAATTTATAATTGAGAATGAAAAAATTCAGATTCGATCCTTAGATTAAAAAATGCACCTCTACAAGCCAACCTATAGACGTTGCACAGCAAGAATTAGATGCTTTAATAATTAAACTAAAACAAATATAAAAAGTATTAAACTAAATGTGAAGTAATCATTTTCCTATTTGTTTTTGTTATTGAGAATGGAGGCAACGTGTTGAACAAAGAAGAATTGGAGGGACGACCCCCACTGGAAAGTGGGGAACCAGAAAATTGTTTCCTCTTTACTCCTCTCATCACTATTTTCGTCTCCTTCTGCTCTCGGGGTCCCAACATCTTTACACTCCTCTAACCCACCTTCATCATTTCTTGTTTAGACTTTTCTCCATGCATGTAACTTGCCTATTCATTTCCACACTTTTCTGTGTTGTTTTCTTTATTTTACTGCATTTACACAATTTTAAATTAGCAAAATTTCAAGACACTAATTCATTTTAGAACAATTTTAGAGGCACACACGTTACATCAATTAGGTGCTCTCAAGAGAATGAATTTCCTTAGATATTAGCCCTATAGGATTAGATCCCTGATTTGCTGCTTCTATGCCAAAATTGCCTTTCTATGTTAAACGGCAGGCATATAATCCTAAAGGTTGAATTCAAGGGTAACCTAGTGTACAATACAACACCTCGTTACCAATGAGTTTAACCCCTGGGGCTATACGCCTGCCTTTGAACATATCACACAGAAACAATTTTCGAATAAAACGAATTGGAAAAATAACAAACTTAACAATGGAGTTCATATAAACAGGTGCTTCAATATAAAGCAATTTCATTATTTTGTTCCGGATTGATGAACGTATTTCAAGTTCAATCTCAGTCAACAGTATTACATATCTGGTATATATATAGAATGTAGAATACACATGTGGCCTACTGAATAAAATGAGGGCAGCTTAAGAGAAAAATGTACATACAAATTTAGAGATTAGCAAGAGCTTAGTTAGTGTCGCTGAATCAATCAAATATTATCAAGACCAAATCTTTTTCTTAGTGATCCTCTCCTTAACTCCTTGGACCTGATCTCTGTAAACCATTTTGTGAGTCAAGGGTCCTTGAGCAGCACTACTAACTGGCCTTGTAGTTCTCATGATCCGTCCACCTTTAGGTGTATCAGACATCCTACCCTTCACAGAAGTTGGCACCATCACATTGTTCTCTGTTTCATCACCTCTAGCGTATCTTTTCTTCTCAGTGAGAGTTTCGCTAACTCTTGGCCGCTTAGACCCATTAATTGAATTTGAACTCTTTAGGATATTAGGTTCAATCTCACTCATGAACCCTGCTGCATCTCTTACACTGGATTTTCCTACATTGGGAGTGGCCCCTTCATTTGTAAAATCACGGACCACTTGTTCTTGCTCCCTCAATCTGTCTTCCAGTTCCGTAATCTGCCAGAAAAATCTTTCTATTAATAATGCTCTAGAACTCTTAGAGTCAAACACAAAAGAAGCAAACTTTTTGAAAGTTCAAATTCAAGAACTAATCTCTAGCAGTATGTTCAAATCTCATGCAGCCAACAATAATCACTAAGCTTCATACAACAGGAAAGAAGGGCTCAAAGTTAATGAACTCAAGTCTGCATAGGATTTTAGGTACAAGGAAACAAACATCAAAACAATGTAAAGACTTTTAATACTTCTGATTAAAAATGAGATATTTTAAGGTTCTATGATGCCTGATAAATGCAAGCCAATGGCTGGTAAAAGAAAATTAGATACTAGGTGCTTGAAACCTATAGTTACAGAAAAATATGTAAAACAACCTTTCGATGAAGCAAAATGGACTCAGGAATTTGTTCCTGCTCTTTCAGCTGTTCCTCAAGCTCCTTAACCTGGAAAAAGAGAATAGTGAAAGAATATAGTTAAGTTCAAGTTGCCATTTTCCCATTGAAGAAAAAACTAGCATTGCTAACTAAATCTTTGCAACCTTGAGTTGAAGGGTGAGTGACTGCAAATCAGACTGTTGCATTTTCTCCTTCAGCTTGTTCTCAAGATCCATAATCTGCTTTAAACCAACAGTAGCTAAACCATTCAATTTTTCTTTCATAAATACCTTGTCTCTGGGAATGTATGTCAAAAAGTTCAAAAAGACCACAGACCTTTTGTTGGTAAGTGGCAGACTCTGACTGCTCTCTCTCTTTAAGCTTGGTCTCTAATTCTTGGATCTTAAGCGGATAACATATTGAAGTTAGCCAGGAATAACAATGAAATCAATAAATAAATCATGTTTAAGTGGAATGAAACCTTTTGTTTAAGACCACTGCATATCTCCTCCCTCCCTTTCAATTGATCTGAAAGTTGTGATGCTTGCTTCTCTGACTGGTTGTAAGAAGAAGTTTTCTGCTCTAGTTGGCCTTCAAGCTCTTTAATCTTTTCCTGTTGGTTTTTGTAAATTAGGTCCTTATTTTTTGCTTTACTCTCTATATTCTGTAAGCCCTCTTCCAGTTTCCTTAGAGATTCATCTTTGGATCTTGCTTCTTGCCTTGCTTTGTCAAGCTTTGTAAAAATTGAAAAGTAAATATAATCAAATACATAATTAACACATAAAAAGAAATATCTTATGGAAGAAAAATTATAACTAAGTATACACAATTCCTAGACCTACCATCATTTTCATCTTCTGGAGCTCACTTGTATCAACTTGCCGCTTAGCAGGACCCAACTCAACTCCTCGAACACGGGTTGCAAAATTTAATGAACTCAGAGTTTCACTCAAGTCCTGTTCTGAGGGGCTGATCTGCACAAACATCAAGGTCTTGGAGTCACCCCCTGCATGACAGACATCCTTTAGCATTGCATAATCAGATCATAGTTTTGATCATTCCTAAACTCAGGATCAAATACCAATATCACTAATCAACAAAGACTGAATTCAACTCAAGGAATGTGGTCAAGAGGACCTAAATTACCTAATGAATCTTGAAGTAGATGTGTCAACTTTGAGTTCCTGTATGGTATGTGACTACTTTTTGTTGCTAAAGCATGTATGACATCTCCCAAAGCTGAAAGGGATTTGTTGATGTTTTGAGCTTCCTTAAGACGCTCTCCTTGTGCATCAGTTTTTGCAAGCCTCTCACTGCCAGCCAAATCCACAAGCCATAGTTTGCTCTTGGTGCACTCACCATTCATCAGGTTCTTTGCTCTTACCATTATACAAAGCATGCTTAGAAAAACATAGAAAGAGAAGCATCTTTTGTCATTACTACTGAAAAACAGCTGAAGTTAAAATAGCTTAATTCAGTTATACAAATTGGAGGTAAACAATGTGGCTCAGTACCAGTGAGATCTGCTACTATGCTCATTTACATTATTTGATCCAACAGCCCTAGCATTGCTTCCAGCCTGCAACACACTCCAAACTTCCTTGATATTATCAAGTCTGGCTTCTACAAGCCCTGGAACATGATGGGACCCTTCAGCAGATTGCTTTATCTCCAACCTAGCAACCCAGTAAAGAGATTTAGTTAAACTTTCTATTTTAAGGCAATTTCATCTCAGCAAGGCCATCCTTACCCTACACTAAACATAAAACTTCAAGTACTTCAAAGGTGTGTTAAACTTGGTTGACTAGTCTTATCAATCAGAATGTAATAAAAGATGAAGCGGTTTTACTTCTTTGATGTTGGTGATGTAGCTAACAAGTCTCTGATTTGTTCATTGTAGACCTCAAGTACACTCACAGATATGCTGTACATAAAAGTTTCACTCCTTTCCTTGGCAATTTGAAACAGCAGCTCAAGAGTCCTATAGTTGACTCCCCTGTTCTCTTCGGTACCCTCCATTGTAAATGTCTTTCCAGTTCCTGTCTGCCCATATGCAAAAATACAAACATTGTAGCCATCTAGCACTGAAGTGACCAGCGGAGAAGCATCCGCAAAAACATCAACTGTTAATGTACAAAGAAATATGGATCAATATGCATCTATTATAGGAGTTGAAAAAGAAAATGATTATGGGTAAAATAAATTTTGACAACTGGTACCTTGATTATCTTTGGGTGTGTAAACTCTGTCGAATTTGAAAGTTTTTTTCAAGGAGCTACCAGTAAGAATCCCAAGGTCTCCATATTTTGCTACATCAAAGTCAACAACTGTTGCACTCCCAGCTGCTATCTCCTCCTTTTTAAGTGGTCGGCACCGACAGAAGACCCTGATATTACCTGATGTTTAATGGATACATTGTAGTGAATGCTTTTCAGTTGTAATGCTGAGCATTAATACAGGAAATGGATTACTGTAGTTGCTCAGAAGTGGAAAAATGCTTGCCTTTGTTTTCCTGAATCTGATTATAGAGCTCCTTTCGCTTTGCCTGCTCTTCACTATACTTCAGTTTGAGATCTTCACACTGCTCAACTGGAGAATGATTTTGTGAGGCCATTGAAATGCATACCACCAAAAAAAAAAAAACCAAATGAAGTATATCTAGAACCTACCCAATGCCTGAACTCCAGTAACCATGTTATTCAACTCAGGTATTGAATCAGCACAGGCATGTGCTTCACGAGAAAGCTGAGAATGCTCACTTTTCATTCTCTGCATACAATTATACAGATAAATTCATGAAATGTGATGGTTAGAAAATAACAATGAAGAAGTGAATAGGATATCACTCACCTTTATTTTCTTCTGCAAATCATCGATTGCCATTTTCCAGCGCTTCTTATCTTGGCCATAACTGCTAGTAATATTCCTCAGATTTTCGGCTTGTTTCCCTACAGTTTCATCTGACACGAGGCACTCTCCAGTTCAGAAAGAGGACTACTTATAAAACAATTCTTAATCAAACTTAAGCAATATAAAACACCATCAAATATAGCAATTTGTTTTTATTTTTGTTGACCAGCAATTAAAGTTCTTCCCACATATGTGTAGAATTCACTTGAATTTACCATCTTAAATCAGGTCAGTCTATAGAAACTTTTGTGTTGGCATCCCCCCACATTATTGCAAAATGTAGACATATTATGGACCCAATAGTTTAATGAGATGGTTAAGCTAAGCGACAGTGCAATTAGCATGAAAACCTTTCCCATAAAAAGGGTGTCTCTCATCTCCAAAAGAAAAACCATCCTAGAAAGGAAGGAAAAGGAAAGAATGATTTATTGACAGCTTCTAACAGAATCAATGAAAAATTGTCTTCTTTCTAACAGAATAATTCTTATTCCAATGGATTAAAAAGATAATATACATGATGCCCAAAAGTTACCTAAAGAGCGTGTTTGGAAAATTTTGTTGTCCAGTTCCATCCTAATTTTCTCTAGCTGCTCATTTGCTGCAGTCAATGACATCCAGGCTTCATGGCACTCATTTGTCTTAAGCTGGCACTGTGTAGCAAGGTCTTGTATCTTCTTCTCATATTGACATGTAGCCTTTGCTCGCATAAGTTTCTTCTGTTACCCCAAAAGAGAAGTCTACATAAGCAAACAATTAAAAATGTTTAAGGCATAAGTCTTCATATTAGACACATCTGACCTCAGCTGAAGAAATTTCAATCTCAGCAGCACAATGTTTGCATTTAAGATTATCATGTGATGCCCGGGGAGCTGTTTTCAAATTGGGAAAGCAGATGAATCAGCATCATCCTGAGTCATAATGGTTGGGCAATGATGAATCAAACAACGGACTTCCAAAAATATTACCTAACATGTTAGGGGCTCTCCGAATGCAAATTCCACAAACCATTGGGCTACCACTATCTCCTTCAAATCTTATCACAATTATCCCATCTTCCTTCACCAAGACCCTCAAGTCAACCACCTGCAATGCTTTATTGGCTCCAACAACAGAAAAGATATCAAAATCTGATAGAACCTGCATTTCAATGCCAAGATTTAGTACTGATGTATATTGAAGTCAGCAAGTGAAGAAATGGAAAATTGCAAATTTGTAACTACAGTAAAATGCTTTACACTTAATTGACTTGCCTTTTCCTCCTGCATGTATACATTGAACACCCTCATCCCTTTAGGTCCATTAGTATTTATAATCTCCGCAAAATGAAGATCAACAAAATAGTTCCCAGGAGGAAGTTTGTCAAGCCGATAAGAGAAGCTCCCAAATCTTGCAGACTTATAGATGAATGGATAATCTCCTGCCTCGTTTATTTGCTCATCAGTTCTTAAGACAGTACCTCCTTCATAATATGTGTCATCCGCAAATTTCATAATTGAATCTGCTTCATTTGAAGCCATCCCTCCAGCATTTACAAAGATAACAACTGCATCTGGGTTAAGAAAAAATGCACAAGATAAAGCATTGGCTTATTACATAATTAGATTATTAGCTATAAAATGTCGAGTTTTAAGCTTTTAGCTACCATTTAGTTCCCCCTTCCCATTATCAAATCAACAATGCGGAAACTCCCTAATCAACAGATGTCATGACTCTCATAGTATCAGGTTCTAAGTTCCATGGGTTCAAAGAATTGATAAAAAGACGGTGTATGCCTAAATCTGAGCAAACTTAAACCTAAGTTTCCGCATAATTACTAAGCTGATATAAAAGGAAAACCAAGAAAATTTCTCTTTTATGTTTCCTGGAAAATGAGTGAAAGTGATGGAAACCCACTGAAACTGAGCAATGAACACATAGAAAAGAAAGAATCTTTAAAAATTTTCTCACTAACCAAACAATTAGGAATCTAATTCGGAAAAACCATGACTTCAAAATGAGAACTAACCTGTGCAATTAGATCTGGTAAATCCAGTAGGAATAAGCCTTGAATTAGTGTCACAGAGCATGGAATCAACCCTAGAATCCTCATCCTCGCCCGTAGCGGAATCTGCCTTATCTTGATTCTGAGCAACCTCCTTTTCCCAATCAAAAACCGTAGAAACCAACGAATCGGAAAATAGGGTTTCTGGGTGTTGTTCAATACCATCGAACTGAACGTTTTCCATGGATAATTGGGGTTGTGGGTGCTTCACCGCTGGAAAATCAGTCAGATTCTTAGCCTTTTCTGGAGCAAGAAAGCAGCTTCTGGTTCTGCTAAACCTAGAGTTCGCGAAACGCTGTTTTTAAATTTAAATTCCCAGTGACCGTTGATTGAATTCACTGGGCCTCAATTTTATCCTGTTGGACCAAATTTAATTCTCCTTTTCAGGTATCGAGACCATTGAGCTTGGATTAAGCCCATTGGGCTTGTTCTACTTGATTTTATCTTTATTTTTTTGCAGGTACCGGGTCTATTGAGCTTGCATTAAGCCCAATAGGCTTCTTCCACCTTATTTTATTATCTTATTATTTATTGAAATTGCAAAAAATTTAGAATGTTCATAGTAATTAAAATTTTAGGAATTTTTTTATGAAATTAAAGATATTTAAATAATTTTTTTAAAATTATAATATTTTAAAATTTGATAAATCTTAAATTTTGTTTTTTATTTACTTATAAAATTAGTATTTGTTAATAAAAATTAGGAAAAAATATTTTAAAATTATTTTATTTTATTAAAATAATACATAAAAATATAAAAATAAATTCAATCTTAATTTAAAAATTATTTTAAATTTTTAATATAAATTTATTAAAATACTACTGTTTTTTAACTTTTTTTTCCACTTAATTTTTTAAAAAATAACAAACACGTTTTCTTTTATTTTAAATTTAATTAATGGCTTCGTCTTACAGGTCCTACGTTGCAGGTATTTACTGTATGATCAGAGCCAATCAAACCCAGTCGCTTCTTTGGCGCGTGTAAACCCAAATCTCAAAGTCCACGACGAACTCTGCCTTAGGCAAGCGAAGGGCGCTTCTGTTTCTGTTCATGCTGTCTTGGGTCCGTCTCGATTCCTTCCTTTAATCTTCACCTTCAAATTTTCCCTCACTTTCTCTCTCTTACACATTACAGCCCCTCTTTGTTTATTTTGCGGAAAAGGAAGGTTTTTTATACCATTCATGTTATCTCATAATTTTGGTTCTGCATTTCTGGGACGCATCAATGAGAGTCAGTTAAGCATACCCTTTTTTTCTTCAAGGAGGTAGGGCTTCTTTATCTCTTAAATTTTTGTTTTTTATAGTTTAAGGGTTTGTTTTTTTGGCTTCCCTTATGTAATTTGATTGTGGTTGATTAATAATATTATTGTGCTCAACTTGCTTGATTTGTTAGTTCTAGGTTTTGCCATGGAGAGAATATTTTGAAGTTAAAACAGCCCATTATCTAGTGGATGAATAGGGATAGTGTAATTTGCACTTCAAAGGGTACCTGTTAGTGTGATCATCATTAGGTAAGTGGGCTATTTCTTTACATTGTTACTTTTGAGATGAGTCCTTGTTCTTTGCATGCGGGTTTAGTTACAAATTGGGTTTTGATATTTGCTTATTATGTTGTATTTAATGTTGGAACTAGTGATGGATTATGGGGTCCTTTGTATTTTTGTTTGGTGATATTTTCTTCCGCTAGGGTAATGGTGCTTATGAGGTAACACTGGTTTTCGTCTGCAGTTCTTGTTAGTTTTTTCATTTCCTTGAATTTGTTTAGTGAAGTTAATTGTGCTCAAATGCTGGAAGCCTGAAGTTAGATTATGTTGCTCTTTACTTTGTAAGATTCCCAAAAACTTGAATAACCTTGACTTAGCCCCATGAAGGAAAACTCTAGTAGTGCAAGTCTTTCTGTGTTTTACACTTTGATTTAAACATAACTTTAAAGTTTCAGGCGCTCCTTCCTCTGTTGAAATAGAGAAAGTGTTTCCTTGACTAGAACAAGTGTAACCCATGGGAGCATACTCTACACCATCTTCAAAGAGTATACTGATTAAATTTCTTTTCACCTTGTGATGTTAGGAGTTTTGGTTTTCCTGAATATTGGAACCATCATGGGTTATTTGATCTTAAAAATGCTTGAAGTTGTATAGATTGGACAAACTGGCTTTGTTCAATCAAATGGTCACCTTATTGCATCATGTGCATGCTAAAGCGCATAACATGAAATATAGGACTTGATATTTTCAAGATGTTTAGGTGTCCAGAGAAGTAGAGTAAGTGTGCAGTTCAACATATTACTGTGAACCAAAAAGAAAGTGCTTTGATTGCCTTGATGCTTCAAATTTTTTTTTTTTTGGTTCACATTTTATGGTCCTTTTTACCAACCTCTTGATCTGTCTTCTTTAACTTTGTTTTTAAGGTTCTTTGACTAATAATGGAGAGCCAAAGTCAGCTAGTGGTTAGTGGACAGAACAGGATGCTTCCTCCACCACCTGCAACTTTTCAAGATCGTGAAGATCTGATTAAACATGCCCGTGACTTTGGGGCTAGCCAAGGATATGTGGTGACTATTAAGAAGTCTAGGAAGGACAGAAGGGTAATTCTTGGTTGTGACAGAGGAGGTGTTTATCGTAATAGGCGTAAGATTGATGAAACTAAACGCAAAAGGAAAGCATCCTCGAGGCTTATTAATTGTCCTTTTGAAGCTATAGGTAAGAAGGAAGATGATGTCTGGCTACTAACCATAAAAAATGGGGATCACAACCATGAACCTTTAAAAGACATGTCAGAGCATCCATATAGTCGTCGTTTCACTGAGGAAGAGGTTAGGCAAATCAAGTTAATGACAGAAGCTGGTGTAAAGCCCCGCCAAGTATTGAAGACTCTGAAGCAAAGTAATCCTGAGCTGCAGTCAACACCAAGACATCTATACAACCTCAAAGCTAAGATTCGTCAAGGAAATTTAACAGGTAATTTCTTTTAGTTTTTTTTAATTCAAATATTTTGTTGGATCTGACTTCAAATTTGACAGCTATTGATGTAGATTACCTGCCAGCTAATCATAAACTTGTCAGATAAAAGTACTATCACGGAGCCATTAGAAGATAGGTTATTTTTCTCACAAGGTTCTCATTTTTTGAGTTTGGAGTATGTATAGATTATACAAGTTAGACCTCTAATTTTGGGCTTGAATATAATACCTATATGGTATTATGGTCCCTGGAACTGTGCAAATTATGCACATAGAAGAATTTTAACTTTTTAAGCGATTGGATTAAAGAAGCAGGAGACACAGTTTGAAAATTTGGATAGATTGAGTATAGAAGAATTTTGATTGATGCATTAAAATGCTAGCATGCATTCCATCTAGACAAAATGATGATAACTTAACTGAGGAACCTCTTTTAAACTTGGAGAAAATAATCTTGAAATTGAAAATCAGTGAATTATTCATTGTTGTCTTGCAGAGAAAAGTTTCAAGTCATCATGGATACCGAACAGATCTGTTCTTGTTAACAGCGGGGAGTCCTTGAGGCAAAACAACCAGCCAGTGAGTCTTGTTGTGAAATGAGAAAAATTATTTGTTTTTCTTGTTCCTTTACTCATCCAATCTTTTCTGCTCTTTAACTTCCCTTTCTGTGTGTATCCATGCATGTATTTTTTAGCTGAAGGTTCCTAATTTTATTGGGGGGAGATTTGTGGAGTCTCAAGGATCTGCTATCATTGAAGTAATAAATCCTGTAAGCACACAAGCACAGTAATCAATGCTCATTTTTCCTCCTCCATGCTATATATATATATATATATATATATATATTATCAATAACATTTGTAATGAAACTTGCATCTTATCCAGGCAACACAAGAAGTTGTTTCTCAAGTTCCTTTGACTACCTATGAGGAGTTCAAAGATGCAGTAGATGCAGCCAAACAAGCTTTACCATCATGGAAAAATACGCCAATTGTAACTCGTCAGCGCATAATGTTCAAGCTCCAGGAGTTCATCCGAAGAGATATTGTACAGATATTATAATTTGTTTTTCTTCCTGTTTACTTTGAGGTTACTGATTTTGAACTGTAATTTTCTTTCCTTTTCTTCTTCCATATTCCTAGGATAAGCTTGCTATGAATATTACCATAGAACAGGGCAAAGCATTAAAGAGTGCTCGTGGTGATGTGTTGCATGGATTAGGTAAAATGTGTCTTTTTGTTCTTCTTTCATGACTTTGGAAAATTGATGCAAATTCAACAACCAAATATTGAATTTGATTTTTTATTTTCTTTTTTATTTTTGGCTTTTAGAGGTTGTTGAACATGCATGCGGAATGGCAACTCTGCAAATGGGGGAGTTTGTCCCTAATGCTTCCAATGGAATTGATACATACTGCATTCGAGAGCCAGTTGGCGTTTGTGCTGGAATATGCTCATTTAACTTTCCAGCAACAATCCCCTTGTGGGTATGTCTCCCTTGCTCCCGGCTTTCTAATTCTTTCTTTCGGTGGGTCTTCTGTTGTTCTTTGTCTTGTCTAGTGAAGATCTTGGCTGGTGTAAAGGTCTGAATGTTATTATGCTCTTCATTTTGCCTGTATTAATTGCTATCATCTTATGTATTTCATCACTTTTCTAAACAACAACTGAGTGATTCTGGAATGGGGTTGAAGTGGCATCTTTTCTGCTATATCAATTTTTTGACAGTCAAAGAAATGATTTTCCAACTTTGTTCACATTTTAGTTTATCTAAGTTATTTTGTTTCCTATTTGAAGATGTGAAGTTTAGTTTGCACTTGCCTCCTTGTAATATTTTTTCTCCTTTTTGGCAGATGTTTCCTATTGCAGTTGCATGTGGCAATACATTTGTTCTCAAGACATGTGAAAAAAATCCAGGTTATTCAATCCCTTTTAGCATTCTGCTCACCTCTTGATGATTAGTGGCTTTACCCACCTTTGTCTCAATGACAAAAATTCATTTAAAACTTCAAGTGTACAGTGGCCTTTGAAATGACTACTTTATTTTTTTGAAACTGTGAAGTGTAGGACATTTTTCTAATGAACACATTAATAATCCCATCTTATCATATGGAAGAATGGAGTAGTTAATTGTTAAGATATTGGAGGTGAAGTTTTGGGATCAAATTACTTTCTAGTGCCTCCATGGTAGTTGAAGAGATTGAGGAGTTCTCCTAGGTGTTGAAGTTACAAGTCATACTTTTCCTTTTCCTTTTCTTTTAATAAATATTGAAATCTTAGTCAAACCAATTAATTTGATGATAACTACCATGCATACAAATTATTAAGTAATTAACTTGCACAGATGGTATTTTTTAGTTATTTCCATATCATTTTATTTTAGGAGGAAGGCAAGTAAAGCTTGTACTCCAATCACTACCCCACAAGAGGGGCTAATACATTTTTACCGGGTATTCCCCAGTCTTACACTTCAAAAAAGAGTCTTAAATGAACCTAAACAATTTGAAAAACACTCTTCTCAGAAGAACTGACTCCTCTAAATACTCTAGAACATTTTTCAGTCCTTAAAGTATAAATTGTAGCTGCAGCTGGTACCTTCAGAGTCACAGCCCTTCTGGTCCTCCCTTTAGCACATGACATGAGCTACCTCTGTTTGTGAAACCACTATTTGTTAGTTGCTTCCCTATCTTGTTTGTTTACATATATTCTTTATTAGTGTTTTCTGGATTATTACCTATGACCTCTGTGTCTTGTTAAATTCATTTCTTTAATGGCATCTATGTTTCTCTTTCCAAGGTTTGGAAGTTTAGTATCATTACAATTTTCATTTTATTTCCTTCACAGGGGCATCCATGATACTTGGAGCATTAGCAAAGGAGGCTGGTTTACCAGATGGTGTCTTAAATATTGTTCATGGAACTAGTGTAAGCTTCAATTGGGAACCATTTGTATTTTTTGTTGTTGAAAGTAATGAAATCTTCTTACCATTGTAAATTTTCTATGGGAGTCAATTAATGTTATGCTATTATGAGATCTGTTATAATTGAGATGGTTTATTAAGTCATTTTGGCTGAATGTGGCTTGGCAATGAAAGACCAAATTGGTTGCCCACAGTTACTGTTGTGGGATTATGATAATACATCAGCCTGGGAGCGTGGGATGGAAATTAGAGTTGCAGAGTCTTCTTCTTCTGTTGGAAAATGTCTGCATCGTGGGAGAATTAATCCAAAGATCAGTTGTAGATAAAAGGGAAATCTTTCCTGGACATTTGTCTACTAATCTTTCCTGGACATTTGTCTACTTAAGCATCTAAACTACCACATATGGTTTAGGTTCAGGGTACTCCTATCTTAGTCTTCCAAATTTTCTGAAAGTGGAGTACATCATTTACTTTCAATCTAACATAAGTGATGATGGTCCTGCTTTTATTGGTAGCATGTTAAATGCATAGGCCACAGACTGGAGATTGCCTGGAGGCCTGATGCAAGAATAGTGTGTCGTGGAATGGGTTCTCGCAGGTTGAATTTGTAGCCATTACTATGCACGCTTAACCATTGCAGGTGGCTGATGTTGTTGGAGCTGTTGTGTAGATAACCTATAATTGTAGCCCACCCTTAGAAACTATTGGCAGCTCTCTATTCTTTGTTTTTCTTTGATAATAACTCAGGAGGGATCTGAGGCTCTTGGTAAAGGGAGTTTCTTCTTTCTTGTTTTCTTGTTGACATGCAAATAATTGTATTATGATATTACAATAATAGCTTTTGCTGTAAGATAAATTGTATGTTGTGGCAGTGATTGCTGTTTAGTGAACAGGATTGGACAGGATGGCCATCTTGAATTGGACTTATTTTTATTTTTATTTGGGAATCCTTGTCAACTAATCTTCTCAATTATAATAATTTTTCCTTTATGTCTTTTGTTTTTGGTATCCACATTTGAAGACTTCTGGTTTTATTGTTAATTTGATTCTGATGTATTTTTTGTTAATGATTTGAGCAGGATATAATTAATTATATTTGTGATGATGAGGATATAAAAGCTGTATCGTTCTTTGGTTCAACCATGGTAAGTTAATTTGTTAATTTTTAAATTCTGTTATCTTTCTTAGAGCATAAATGACTTTACCCTCAGCTGAGCTAGCTTCTATACACAGATAAAAGGCACTAAAACTTGTTTCTGTTACTGGGGACCATGAATCTTCACTTGATAAAATCTTATTCTCTAATCTCCCTTAATGTCATGTTTGTCATTTTAAAATGTGCAAATTTAAAAATCTTTGTTTACTTTATTTCTTTCAGAACTACTCTTGTAAAGGATCAATAAGAAGATTTGACTACCAATTACCAAATAAATTGCTATCCATTAAAAAGTTTTTTAGGAATTTTTGCCCTTTTCTATTTACTCAAGTATTTCCTCTTCCTTTCTATTTCCTACTTCTGCCCTTTTAAAAAGCCTGTAACTGTTCCTGTGAGCTGAAGAACATTTGTTCTAGTATCTTTTTGTTGCTTTTTCATAGGAAATCATTGATGTAATGGAAGGTAGTTGCAATTTCAGAAATTATTTTTCATCTTTTGACTTGATATTATATCTGCTAAAATCCAAACTTGTCTCTATACCAATTTAAAGTGACGTTTTACCCCTCTTTGAGAATAACCGAGAAGGTCATACCCAATTTTAAACTTATTTCATCCTCTAATGTAGGATCTTTGGAAAGGATTAAGTATTTGACACTGAAACTTTAAAAATGGAGGAAAAAGATAAAAATGGAGGAAAAAGATAAAGTGGCCCAAAAAACGTTTCGGTAGTTATATAGACAATGATTTGAGGATCATTTTCACTTTAATGTTTACTCAGAAATTTTATTTTTTTTTGTTATTTGGCTTCCAATTTCATGTGGGCATTACTTTCTTTTATTGACTCTATTATTAATCTTTTCTTCTATTTTTAGGCTGGTATGCACGTACATGCCAGAGCAGCTGCTAGAGGAAAACAAGTTCAGGTCTATGCTCTTGGTTTATTTTATCTCAGTTCTCTTTCTTTCTCTCTGATTCTCCTTCTTGCCTTTCCATCATGGCTAACCTTGAATCTGAAAGGTGAAATCTAAATAAACTCTGAAGCTGACTGGTTTTAGCCTTTATAGTCAAATGTTGCTGGCAAAAATCATGCAATTGTCATGCCTGATGCCAGCATGGAAGCTACTTTGAATGCTCTAGTAGCTGCTGGGTTTGGTGCAGTAGGACAAAGGTGCATGGCTTCTATTACGGCTATTTTTGTTGGAGGTTCAATACCATGGTATCATGATTTCTTTACCTGAAACATATTTTCTAATTTCTATCTCAATGGGCCAAATTCTTTAGCTTCTCTTATTGGTGTACATGTTTTAATCTGTAATTTCTATTTAAAGTTGTTACTTGGATGCTTTTGGCAACATTCTTTATATTGTTGTCAGAGTGCCACTATGTTTGCTCTCATGGTTATCATCCCATGCTTGTTTTAACACACATGATTTTATTTGAAGCTCAAATAAGCAAGACTCAGCAAGTAAATTGATGAGGCTGGAAGTTTTTGGACTTTGACTTGTAGAACCATCTAAAACTAATGCAAGTATCTATGGCAACAGTCTGGACTGACATAGATCCATCAAACCTTAAAATGTTTTCAATACGATGATAGATAAATGAATAAATGTAGAGTTCTGGTGATTTGGACAAAAATGCTTCTAGTATTCTAGCATCCTTATTTTGGAACTTGTGTCAATTTAATGCCATAGTTTACCTTCTTACAATCTATATCTTCTGTTTCTATGCCAATTTCTTTTGTTGAGTTCCTATCATCCTATGGATTTAGTATACATAGTAGGTGGTAAAATGTGTCAGTTTCTTGATTTTTAGCTAATAGATCTAGATAAGAACTACATCAGCAGTTGTGTTTTGTTATCATGTCCAGGGAAGAACTTGTGGAGCGTGCCAAAGCACTTAAAATCAATGTAGGAACTGATGCTAGTGCAGACATTGGTCCAGTGATTAGTAAAGAGGTGAAAGCATAATTCCAAGTTTTTCAAGATTCATCTGCATTGTGCAAGGAGAGGAATTTATGAGATGACTTTTTTTTCTTTGTTGCCATGGAGGCAAAACATGCCTTTGAAGTCAGATTGCTCAACTTTAAGCTATGTTCTGTCTTCTGATTTGCTTTCTGAAACAGGCAAAAGATCACATAAGCAGATTAGTACAAAGCAGTGTTGATGCTGGTGCTAGACTGCTTCTTGATGGGAGAAATGTTGTGGTATATTACGATAACTCCTTTTGGCTACATACATAATAGCTTTAGATATCAAAACAATTTTAGCATGACCATTATCTAGAAAAGGAGAATGTTGCAAGTATTACAAGTCATTTGCTTAAGCTCTTGAAAATGAGGAATTTCCCCTGTAATTTTTGAATTTTGAAGTAAAATATGGAAGATGGTGATGTTCTTTAGGGTTAGTTGCGTTCATTCTTCTGAACGTGTTCTCTTATTACTATAATTCTTGTTGAAACCTGAGAGAGGTTTGGGACTTCAACTGACTCACTTCTGCTGTTATCTTTGTTTTCTAATTAGGAAACCAGCTTCTTCGGACCTTCTCTGACATATTCCAAACTCTTATTCTCTAGGTTCCAGGATATGAGAATGGAAATTTTATTGGTCCAACTATCTTATGTGATGTTACACTCAATATGGAGTGCTACAAGGTATCTTTTTTTGTGCCTCAACTTTATATTACATTTTCATGTGATGAACTTGGGAAATTTATAATTCTAAGTGAAAGAAGAATTTAATCAGAGAAATTTATATTTGCTTGACCTCCCTGTATCTTGCGTTGGGCAGGACGACATTTTTGGTCCAGTTCTCATTTGTATGCAGGTATTGTTCGATACTTCTTCTATTGCATTGATATTAATTCAATGGAGTTGGCTGGATGCTGGTTAACAGCATTTTGTTGTTTGACAACCAACAGGTGGAGAGCCTAGAAGAGGCTATAGCCATTGTTAACAAAACCAAGTACATAACTCTAGTCTCTTAATCTCATTTTTGCTTTTGGATGTTCTGTTTCAACACATCAGCTTAGATTTCTATTAATGCATGCTTAGTGTAGGTTGTCATGATATTTTGTAGAGTGAAATACAAAACCTTGCTATTAAACATGTAGAAAGTATTCATCAATCATGTTTCCAAAGCTTAAATACTTTCAGTTGCTTTTGTGAAGCTTTGTCAATTGTTTATGCTTGCCCTTGTAATACTTGCCTTTCTTATCTGGAATGTCAAAGGAGACAGTGTAGTGTTAAGATATAAGTGGAATATTGATTTGTTCGCAAGGGTATTTTTCATCTTTTAATATATGGCTCCTCCCTCGACTGCTTTCTTGCCAAAACTAAATTAATTATATACCGCACTGACCTTTTTGTTGACTAGTTCTTTTGGATAAAGCTGTTTGTTCTGGGAAGGATAGTCATATGTCATAAACCCTAGGAATTATTTTTCACTTTGGCACATCATGTCTGCAATTGCATGCTTCTTCTGGTAGAATATTGGAATTTACACCCCCAGCCCATAACTCTTTCCTTTTCTCTCCTTTATCATTTTTATTCTTACAGATCTCTGAATGGAGCTTCTATATTCACGTCATCTGGCTATGCTGCTAGGAAGTTCCAGAATGAAATTGATGCTGGTCTGGTAAGTTGACCATTGTGTTTTCTGACATCAGAAACTAAGTTGGTTAAGGAAAAACACATTATGAGGTCCTGTTTTTCTGTAAATATTTGTGGAATAATTCAAGGAAAAAATTATTCTGCCACAAGCTTAGTCTGTAGGATACATGTTCTAAGTATATTGGTTTCTCAGTTGTGCATTCATAGAAAAGGAAGTTTAAACCATAACATTTCATAGCGTGTTATGGATTTTACCTTAATTATCCAGGTAGCTTCTGCACAGAGCACTCTCTTCTTGTAGAAAGTGCCTTGTTTGGCTGCAATGGGCACAGAACTGGTGTAAATGCAAAAGATGTCGCCAGTGCAGCTGAACTGTTGCTTAACCCCCTTTTTGTGATATACAACTCTGAATTAAACTTCTTTTTTGTGTAACTTGAACATGTATTTTGCTCAGGTTGGGATCAATGTTCCTGTTCCTATTCCGATGCCATTTTCCTCTAATGGACCAAAAGCATCTTTCGCTGGAGATCTTAATTTCTGTGGTCTGATTCCTTTAACCCTCGTTTTCCCTCCAATTACATGTTGCTTGATATATCTTTTAGAGGTGATTCTATCTGTTTCTCTCCTATATATAAGTTGCAGGAAAGTCTGGTGTACAGTTTTACACCCAGATCAAAATGGTAGCACAGCAGTGGGGAGATTTGCCAACCCTTGGAGTGTCCTCAGGTTTGCAACCATCGTCTGAGACAGATATGACTAGCCGAGGCGTCTCTTCTGCATTGCGTCCATCATCTGAAAGAGATTCACCATCCCAAAGAACATCACCAGCCATGTCTCCAGCATCAGAGAATGATTTGTCAGGCTGTGGAGCGCTGACTCTGGTTCCATCAACTTCAGAAAGGGATCCACCAAACCCTGGGGGGTCATCTCTGCCTCTAACTGCTGATGCAGACTTGCCGAGTCGGAATACATCTGATATTGACTTGTCAAACAAGGACAATTCACTGGCTACAACCCACCCGTCTGAAAGAATGTATATGCCCCAACCATCACAGTGGAAGGAAACTCCAAGCCTGACATCCCAAAGGACTGAACCTATTGCTCCACCCCCCGAGAGGATTTATATGCCCATGATATCTCAGAAGAATAGCAACGCAGCTCCAACAGTTCAGAGGACAGACAATTCATTAGGCTTGACTCATGAGAGAGTATTCATGGCTACGTCTCATAAGAACGACAGTATGGTTCCAGTTTCACATAGGAACAATGGTATAGCTCAAACATCTCATTCTGCTGCACATCCAGCTTCCGAGAGGATCTACATGATGACAACTTCTAACTTGAGCGATGGTGTAGGTCACACATTTCAAAGAACTGAAGACACTTTCTTCCCAACTTCAGAGAGGATATATATGGCTGCCGTACCACACAGGAATGATCACATTGGCTCCACATCTCAGCGGGCAGATGTCACGTTACAGCCACCTTCCGAGAGGGTATACATACCTCCAGCACCCCAAAGGGCTGACAATATTGCTTCACCTTCTCACCGGGCTGATGCTGTGCCTCCTACTTCTGAGAGCATGTATCTCTCTCCAATTATACAGAGAAATCCTGGTGTGCCCCCATCTGAGAGGTTATACATGCCAGCAACATCTCAGAGGATGTATAATCAAAACCAAGTAATGTCGATGGATGATTACTCTGGCCAAGGTCCATCTATTAACGTGCCTGCGTCACAGAGGATATAGGATAATAACTCTAGTTTTATTTTTATTTTTATGAAGTTCCTAGACAAATCAGTTTATAATGCTAAATAAGATTTATTTTCTACCCTTTTTTTATCAATCTTTAATCATCCCAAAATTATCTTCTTTTCCTCTAGTTATGCAATTACCAATTTAATCTACTAATTCAAAATAAATAATGAATGGTAAAAGTGTTCTCAAGATTTGTCTATCTGTGGTCTCAAACTCCCTCATCAATTGGTACATCTCTTTTCGGTATGACATGTAGTCGATGAAGACTGTTTGTCAAACCGCTTACAAGTTAGTATGGTAGATGAGAATATTCAGTATTTTGGAGTAATTGTAGAGTTGTTT